CAGGCTCCTTTCCAGGGCATGCATATGACCCTAGAAGCCCATACTCTAGTTGTAGGGTACCCTACAGAGCAGGAGCTTCCCACTTCCCAGCTTAGGGTGTGTGTGTAATGGACAGGAGGAGTGTCTTTAGCACCCGGTGACTAAAGGGTTAAACTAAGAACAACCAACAGGCATACAGTGCTGAAATTTGAATTGTATAAGATTCCTTGCCTACTTTCTTTGTGTGGGAGAGAAAAACCAGGAGTTGAGAGAGAGAATTATTTAAACCCAGGCAGGACTACCATGCCTCCAGGGAATTTGGGGCATGGAAGTGGATTGAACCAAGAAAAGATAGGAAGTAAGTAAAGGGAAAAAAGTGAATCTAGTCACAATCAGGATATTTTCTTTATTTTGTGGTTTGGTTTGAACTACTCTGTGTGGATCTATGCCTCCCCGCCCCATTTACCATCTAAGCATTGTTTCCAGAGATTTTCTCTGTGTTTTTGTTTTCCTTAGTTGCTGTCATGATTATGAGGGTTAGCCAGCAGCCTGGGGATTAAGGGGTTAACTACACCTAGCCAGGTGGAGTGACAAATAGGAATGTAGGTGGGACTTTTCAAACTGGGACAAAGGAATTTGGGTTTTTTCTTTTCTCCCTTTTTGTCTCTGAGAGAGTTTCGCTGCAGCTACAGAGAGGGACAAGCATGTCTCTCTCTCTCTCCAAGGCACCATTCTTCATTTTCTGTAAGTAGGGTAAAGTTTAGGCAGTTTCGTTAGGTTTTATTGTTTTAAGGATTGGGTATGGGATCTGAGATCTGGCACTGCTTAAAAGATGTTTTGGCTTTTCTTTGTAACTAAGTTCTAGGCCCATGGAGTTTCTCCATGAGTATATTTTGTTACCTCCCTATCTAGTCATTATGGTTGCAACAGGAATATTGTTGTAATAATAAAAGTTCTTTCTTTTCTTTTTATTAACCTGGCAGTGGTTAATTGTGTGCCTTGATTTTTATTTTAGGGGTAAGATTTCCCAAATGATCTTTCCCCTGATTTCTTTATCAACATTTGGGTGGTGGCAGCGGAAGTTTTATTTCCAAGATCTAGGTTTTTAAGATTTTGGGGGAATTTTTATACCCAAAGCCTGGTAGATAAGGCTTTGGGGTACACTTGCTGGCCCCCACTTCTGCATTTATCATGCCAGAGTGGGGAAGGAGCTGTGACAGTTGCTCTGTAACATCTAGCAACCAAGTATGCTTTATCAAGTACGTCTTTTGTTTTGCAATAAAAATCACTTTTTTAAGGGGATGATGTGATTCTTGTGTCCTGGAAGGTACAAAAGGTTTGTCCGTCTGTGTGTCCGCACGTCTCGGACTGAGGGGTCAGCTACTAGAGACTGCAGCTTGTTTTTCTCTTTTCTTATTCATGCTCTCTTGTGGCAGAAGAGCTTGGGCTATCCTGGGGGTGGGTTCAAATGTTCACCCCAGGTTGTAGGGATAAAAATCACTTGCTGGTGGCAGTGATCCCCCAAAATCTGTGTATTGTGATTCTGGGGAAGTTTTTGTAACCAGTGCCTATAGTAGCAAGATACAGTTAAAATCTTTATGGGCCCCATCCTTCTGCACTCAGAGTGCCAAAGTGGGGAACAGCCCTGACAGGGGGGAAATAGCTCCCATTGCCCACCTCTTGTACCAGGCATACAAGGACTGCTCCAGCCACTCTTCCATAAAAGCAACCTTCTCCAAGTACTAGCTAGTTAGTCCTTCAGCTCTAGCAACAGCTGTAGGTGTTGTAATGATAATGGTTCAAAGTTCCACCCCCGATGCTGCATGGGAGAGGAGAGGCAAGTTACAATAAAACACTAACAATTTTATGGCTACTTCAAAAAAATTACGTACACAAATTCCCAACATTAAAAAAATCATTTAGAGTAGAAAGTGAAGTACTTAGAAGTTAGCAAATGACAGAATTAAAATTGCCTGTGATATTATCATGTAAATAAAGACTGGCTCATGATGCATACGAAGTAACATTAAGACCCTTCCCCCGTGTATGTACATTACCAGCCTTTATTTACACAGTGCTATAACAATGCCTAGCTCATATAGGGTACGTCTAGACTACATGCCTCTGGCGACAGAGGCATGTAGATTAGGCTACCGGACATAGTAAAATGAAGCGGCGATTTAAATAATCGCGGCTTCATTTAAATTTACATGGCTGCCGCGCTGAGCCGACAAACAGCTGATCAGCTGTTTGTCGGCTCAGCGCGATAGTCTGGACGCTCCCCTGCCGACATCAAAGGTATTTGTTGACCACCCAGGTATGCCTCCTGGAGAAAGCTGTTTCACTACCTGGCTGACATAGCATTGTAACCACTTGCTCAAATTCCTTTGCTTATAGTCCATTAGCTCCTGGAATAGCTGTTACACCTGCTAAAGGAAGGACTGAGAAAGTGTAGTGGAACTTCTTCCCAGCTTGCATCTCCTGCCTCCTCCTTAAGGAATCAAGGCTCATGCTTGCTGTGTCTTCTCCACTCCTGTTTGGGTTTTCTTTAGATGTGCTTTACTATCTCTGGGTATGTCTACACTACCCCGCTAATTCGAACTAGCGGGGTAATGTAGGCATACCGCACTTGCAAATGAAGCCCGGGATTTGAATTTCCCGGGCTTCATTTGCATAAGCGGGGAGCCA